CTTACAGCGCTGGCTTAAAGCAACGCATTCTGATCCTGACGCAATGCATTGCGACTTCTCACCCGCCTGCACAAACTGGAACCGCCTCCGTGACGACACATCTTTGCCCTTATTGGCTGAAGAGTTTAGTTACACCCATGATGTTTGTATCCCAGGCAGTTCCGATGCGTAATCTGCTATTTCTCCCGATTATCACGTAAAGCAGTGAGAACTGGTTTTCAGTTAATTTACCTGGTAAAATAAAGTTTAAATAAATGCTCTAATATTAACACGTAAGTTAGTGGTTTATTTATTGTGAGTTACTGTAATGTTGCGCTGCTTTATTTGGTTAATCGTCCAGTCTGTGAAGAAGGCATTCAAGTAAGAATTGCATTGTAGTATGACTCATTTCCTGGCGCGTACAATTTATATTAGGTCAGCGTTCATGGTTCGACTGATATTCAGATCGAGTTCTAGGTCAAGCTGGTTTGTTCGACTTTCAAGAAATTCGAGTTCTAGTGAGTTCGAGAACCGAGGTACCACTGTAATTGTTTCTTGTAACTGCAAATGTAAGGAATAGATTAATGACTTTCTATCTGGTAGCTAGAAAAGAGTGTTTAAAAGTGGTTAATTATTGTTCAGCTCACCATTATTAGATCAGATGGAAATTAAACTATACAACTTTTTTTGTAGTGTGTATCTGAACAAGAGTGTAAAGCACCATATATATCAGTGAAATTATATGCACTGCAACATACAACCATATCCAAAGGATGAATGCAAGATCATAACACCTTGTTCCTCTACACACAGTACATGTTAATCACTGCATGACACCATTACAATCACACAACTTGGAACACTTTTCCTGAATGGGTTGAAAAACTTTGAATTGATTCTTGGAAATTTAGCTTGAAAGTCATGGAAATTTGTTGATCGAAGAGTGTGCAAACCCTGAAGGGTTTTGTTTAATATACTATGACAGCATGCAATCAGTTATGTGTTTTTTTTTGTGAATATATAGCAATGTGAATTTGTTTATGAGAAATTTATGAAATTTTTGCTTTAAAAAAATACCCCAAACCAGTCTAGATTTAAACAGCAAGGATGAAATGATTGTGGTTCTCAGACAACAAATGCGGCACTCGTGCAAAAGCAGCGAAGGTAAATGCCCCATGACAAAAGAATTGTTTTAGTGAAACTTAAACTCCCTGTGCTATAATATCTGTACTGAATTGAAGGCAATTAAAAAGAGGGATCTTAATTTAGCTGACTAGTGATGTAAGAATTGTGTATGACGTGATATTAGTTTTAATATCGCACATCGTCCAGCCCTGTAACAATACTATAGCCATTTTTCAGATTTAGTACAAAATATCCCACCTCCTGTTGTGATGTCATTCGGAACTGCTACCAGTTTTTACACCAGTGGGAAACTGGCACTTTCGAAGTACCAAAAAAGTCGCTACATGATACAGTGAAAAAACACCCTGACGCATATGTCCGCTTTAGGCTACCGCTGTGTCTTTCCCCCCATGTGGTGTCTGGTCAGCTGGGGTGTGATCTGTTCAGCCCGGGGGGACAGTGGGCTCTGCGTGGAGTGTTGGCTGCGGGGTGACCTGCTTGTTACTGGGGGTGGGCCATGCTTAGTGTTGGCTGGGGTATTACTCTCGTTTTTAATCCCTTTGAGTCAAATCAGGAGTCTGAAGACACTTGTGTAGAATTCCATTGTCAGTCTTTTATTGCATCCAAGCCGGTTACATCCAAGCCTGGACAAGCCTGGAGTGTGTCCCATGGTGAATTACACTGATTTTTTTTGTTACACTTTTCATGTCTTATCAAAATATTCCCAAGCATCATCTTTTCTGGCCCATTCGCTATCATTGTGCCCCCCCTTCTGGGGCTAGCATATTCCTCCCCTGTCTTTTTTGGGGACAAAAATTTGTGCCCCCCCCCCCCCCACCCGATAAGATAGGGCTGCCAACCATTTCCTTCCAGACGACACAATCACAGCAAAAATGGCCTCCACAATGTTTTCTATATGATGGCAGAGAGCCTAAAAACTACCCAAGAACATTATGATTGAGGTCCAGGCAAGACACCCAGAACTACCGTGAGAACCCCGGTGTTTCTTTAGTTATGGATGGTCACAATCTTGGCGGTTTCAGTTGGGCACGTGTTGCTTAGCTACAGAGCCAATTATATTCTTCGGGCTTCAACACAGTTAGGCCTGCAGCTTATTCCTAAGGCACGTGTTTAGGGCACAAACTTCAAGGCTGATATCAGAGGCAGAAACACTTTGTTATGCAAGTTATGTTGTACAGTATTAATTGGTCTACATTCTCTAAAGCATGGATGTCAAACGCCAGTCCTGGGGGGCCGGAGCCCTGTGTAGCTTAGATGTTTCTCTGTTCCACCACAAATGATTTAGCTTATGAGCTCTGTGGTAATTAGCACAAGGAGTTGAATCAGATGTGTTAAATTAATGTAACCCAAAAACTGTGCAGGGCTCTGCCCCTCCAGGACTGGAGTTTGGCACCCCTGCTCTAAAGCCACATATCTCAACCACTGGGCCACGATACAGGATACAGATGGGCCGCGAATTTAAAATCGAGACTAGCCAATAGTCCGTATAGGGCTGCCAGCACCACACTTAATTGGGGCTATAAATATAATAAAAAAAATTGTAATGTAAAGTCCCTACAGTTTTGAGACTGCTAGTTAGCTTTTGAGTTACGTATAAAATATATAAAAGTTTTCTGCAGTACCCAGTATGTTGGTATATTTTTCTGAAATGTAAATGTTGTTTTTGTGTCAAAGAAATTAAACTTTTTATTAAATTTTAATTTAATAAAACACTTGGTTATTAAATATCATCTATCGTGGCCCAGGGGGCCTTGGAAACATGCTGTGACATAGGTGGGCCTTAATGTTGAAAAGGTTGAGAACCATTGCTCTAAAGGTCACAAGGTTACATTATATTCTGTCAGTTAAAGAATTTTTATTGTCCTAAGGATTGCATTGATTGCACTCACTAAATTTTGTACAGTGCTATGTAATATTTCATATGACCTGCTCGGTGCTAGGGGGTGTGGGCTCTGTGATCTGACCTCCTTAGGCCTGCTCACCGAAACATGCTCTCTGTCACCTGTGCCCCAGCTACGTGTGCAGATTTCCAACCTGAAGGGGGAGTTGGAGGGCAGGTGTTCAGAGATAGCCATGCTGGAGACCCTTCTGCAGCGCCATGAGAGGGAAAACCAGGAGGGCTGTCATTTGTTGGCTATGCTGAGGGCAGACCTAAATGTGGCTGCTGAGGACAGGTGAGATGGGCAGGGGGTGCCGCCCACACTTCTTTGTCTCACTCTCACCTGGGCTGCCAGTCCTTGGCTCTTTCTGCATAATATCCAATAGCTGTGTAAACTACAGGAAGGGCCTGCAGGAGGTGCAGGAGCGGCTGCTGAAATTGCTGCTGGATGTCTTGAGAAGCATTGTAGCCACGGAGGACCTGATCAACCAGAGTATCAATAAGGGAAAACCTGGATCGAGCCCAGTAAAGGGTGAGCCAGCCTTGGAGCCTGGAAAAAACACATCTCGATTCAGCGTTTCCCCTTTAAGGCTGAATGGTGAGCCTTTTATGGCTCCATAGCATTGCTACATGGTGTTAACCTCTGTCATCTCTAGGAGAGGATTCTGAAAGCTGTGACTCTGGGCCAGATAGTTGTCTGTGGTCCACACTGACTGAGGGTGGCCTGGAATTTTCCCTTCTCTGTGGTCCTGAACAGCTTGTACTGGAAGCCTGTGTCCGGCTACGCTTAGCAGTGGGCAGGCTGCTGGAACTGATGGCACAGTCTGACAGAGTGGTATGCAGGGGGTATCACAGAGACCTGAGCCCAGCTTCCCTGCTGCTGCAGGAGAAGATCCCAAAAGAATTTTCTTTCAGCTGACCACCATACCTGATGATTTTGTCTCCAGGCAGTCCAGTCCTGTCATGGCAAAGATGATACAGCCCAGCTGATCCTTCTACACCAGCAATTGTTGGAACAACTGGATCTGGAGGCCATTGTGAAGAAGCAAATGGAGCTGGAGCTGCACAAGGCAGAGGGTGAGCTGGCTTAGGCTTGGAGGAGGTGGAGGATAGGCTAGTCTCCTGTGAGTGCTATGACCACACTGCGGCCCACTAAAAAGCTGGACCTAGCTACATCAGGCCCTGATGTAGACACTCAATACAGTCAAACACCAGTATCTGCGGGGATAGGTTCCAAGACCCCCTGTGGATACCGAAAACCACAGATGGTAGTGAACACCTTATATAATTGTATTGTGTACCTTTCGAGGCCATACGAGATCTTTTACGAGAAAGATCTCTGTATGTATGTTGATGCTTCCATGTCCCACTCTCGCCAATGTGGGGAAGCAATAAAAAAGGTGAACAGAATGTTGGGTTATATCTCTAGATGTGTGGAGTTTAAGTCAAGGGAGGTGATGTTACACTTATATAATTCCTTGGTAAGACCCCACCTAGAATACTGTGTGCAGGTTTGGTCACCATACCTC